CTGCCTACACCAGCCTTGCATCATGCACGTTCTTCTGTCTTCAAGAATGGTACTAGTTCTTTTGGTAGTCTATTGAGCTGGTTCACATCAGTCAGTGTTCTGTCCCCAAATCTATTTGTGCTACAGCCTTGTGCAATGCAATTCCTTTTCCTCGTGTGGCTTTAAAATGGGTAATTTTTCATTTTGTTTTGTGGTAGTCGTTACAGGACTGACATATGATAGAGATGTGTGTGGCACTGATGACTGGCTGCACTTGCAGAAGTGAGTGGCCACACAATGATAAATGCAGCGTTACCCAGGAAGTGAGGGGGTACAAACCTGCCACTTGATGAGTGGTCTCTACTTTCTGTGCTCAGTATCAAAAAGTTCTGTAGAATGTCATGCGTGTTGATGTGGTGGGTTAGTCTGATAAGCCAGTTCTAATTCTTCCTTTGATTCTAGGCTTATCCTCACTGAAGAACAGACTTCTATCCAATAGTATGAATTGTTCTAAACAGTGCCCCCCACTGTTCTGATATAGTCCCACTAAACTATCTCCTACTTCAGCTGTCTCTGCAGCTGAAAAGGTGGGACTGGAGTGTGTGTTCTGGGGGCTTGATGGACCACGTTCTACATCTCCCTCTTAGTCACATCTTCCATAAGTAATTCCCTTGCTGCTCTCCAAAGAACAGAGCAAAGCCAGATCATGCTCCTGAATAACTGTTCTCATTTCTGCATTCTAAAATGGGAGAGCATGGTTCTAGTAGACTGATGAATTTCTAGGGCTCAATATACTGCGTAACTTTTTCCCCATAGGCAAAGAGAGCTGGTGTTACCTGCATCATTCTACCATCAGAGAATAAAAAGGATTATTATGATCTTGCTGGATTCATCACAGAAGGACTAGAAGTACATTTTGTTGAGCATTATGAAGAGGTATTTGATACAGCATTTTCAAAGCTGGATTCTGCTAGAGGATGATGTTCAACAACCTGATGGTCAGAAGGTGGTCTGTCCCTTAATGCTCAGCCCCCACCCAGAAATGGGGTGACCTGGGGGCAATCCTGAAGTGGGACATGGAAGCTATTGCTGCTACGCAGCTACTGAAAAGAATGGCTTTGCTAGAATAAAGTATTTCTCTTTAATACTGAATTATGATCCATCTTAAGTATTTCCAATAAAATTATGAACTTTTACTTCAGGAATGTGCATGTTATTAGCCACCACAGACTTGATTCTTTATATTAAACCACAGGTCGATACCATCAGAAACAACTCCAGGCTTAACCAGAGAGCAGACCTGGACAAAAGAGCACCATGTTCAGAATCCACAGTTAGCACTGCATTCCACCCTAGACTCTTTGCCACTGTAGCAGCTGTATTATGTTCAGAGTGAAAAAAATAATTAAATGTCGTAGCATGACTGTTATACATCAATAAACACAGGCTTGGGCCAGAGACCTTGAGTACCTCATCTTATGGCAAATGCTAGAAAAAAACCAAATTGAAATATGGGAAGAGTAGTTAGATGAAGTCTAGTTGAAATATATTTCCTTGTGCAGGAAGACCAGCACTTGTCTTGCACTAAGGTAGCTCTTGGTGGAGAAGAAAGAATAATCCTGATTAAATCTAGGGAGTTCTTACTGACTGCAGTTCTCTCATAATTTGGTAACACACCGCAGAAAGTAGGGCAGGAATGGAGAATACAAGGGGATATGCATGAGTATGAAAAGCTGCACAAGGAACAGGCTGAAGTGCCATATGGAAGGAGTGTACAGTTGTTACTATTTTCAGCGGCAATTTTGGTCCCCCGACTTGTTTCCTACCACCATCTAGGTTTGGAGATGGTCTGGAAGTGGAAGGTATCACAGCCTTCCCAGGCTTAACTATTGCAGAGGCTCCCACACCCTGAAAAAGGCTAGCTCCTCAAGGTCTGGAGGAGGGAGAGGATTCCCCTCTAGAATGTAGCACAGGCCAGTACCAGCAATTCTAGTATCAACATCTCCACCTGCAGGTAAAATAAAACAGCAGTGCAAGTTCTGGATTACTGCAGTTCAGGGCCTTGTCAGCACAGTCCCTCAGCACCCCTAGGAGCACCCCATTCCTCCAGGCAGAAGCAGACAGTCCATCAACGGTCACTGCACTGGTTTTGTGAGAAAGGACTTTATTGAGTTACCAACTGCACAACTCAATCCTTCTTTGCAGCAGCTTTCCTCATGGCTGCCAGGACATTGCTGAGTTCCTCCCGCTTTCGCTTGGCCCGAATGTGAGTGCCAACCTGCAGGGGAGAGAGCAGTGCAGTCAAGCATTCATCCCTTCCTGGCTGCTTCAGGCAGTACCTGAAGACCCCTTTACTCAAAAAGCAGCCAGGAGCTACTTGCCATCACTTCTCAGCAGTACTTCTACACAATTATTTGGGGCAATGTTGGAGCTGCTTTCAGCTGTCACAGCTGCTCTCAGTAAACCACATTTCAAGTCACCTAATTAATGATACTCAACCTCCATCAGTATTGCTCTCCTCTTCCCCACCAGATTTGCAAATAATGCAAAAATAGCATGGCAAGTCTGGATTGCTGTAGCTCAGGACCTTTTTGGCAAAGTAGCTTTACATCCTTCTCCCACTCTCTCACCCAACCCAGGAAGCATTCCCTCCACTCCCACAGATTAGACCAGTAACTTCCCAAACACATGCAAAAATAAGAAAATTAACTAAAAGGCAAAGTATCCCCCAGGAAGGGCAGGAAACAGTTAACTACAGCAGAGTTTTTGCCACCCTCACCAAGATGTCAGATTGACCTACCCGTTTCTTTATGAACTTCAGAGCACGTTTATCTTTGGAAACTTTCAGCAATTCCATAGCACGTCTCTCATAGGGTGCAAAGCCACAGACTTCCCTGATCATGTCTCGCACAAACTTTGTGTGCTTGGTCAGGCGCTATAGGAAGAGGCGGGGAGGGGGGAAGGAAAAAATACATGGATCACACTGAATCTAAGTACTAATTTACCCAGACAGGACTGCAAATGGTTGTGGCAAACTCCCAGGCTAAGTCCCCAAAACCAGCTTATGCTATTAGCATGTTCCAGGGAAGTACAATCCCCTGGTAGGTGCTGTGCAGCAGCATGGTGATCTTGACAAGACATGTCAGTACTGGGTATCTTGCATATCTGCATGCACCAACATTTTTTTAAAAAGCAGCACCATTAGTTGTCCAGTGTTTGCATTGCTATGCATCTCAAACACCACATCTAAACAGAGCATTTAATCAAAGTGTAATAAAAGATGCAATACGCATTCATCTGTCACATTAACGCATTCATTGAACTTGGGTAACTCCCAATATTTGCCATTTTTGAGCAGTTTTGTGGGTACACCTGTTGCTGTTACCAAGAAAAGCAAACTAAGAGGGACCGCAGAAGTCACCTAGCCTATTTTCTATTTCACTGTGTGCTGATTTTGACTGGAATAGCGTTAATTTTCTTCATAGTAGTTGGTACAGGGCTATGTTTTGGCTTTGTGCTGAAAACAGTGTTGAGAATACAGGGATGTTTTTGTCATTGCTGAGCAGTGCTTACACAGTCAAAGCCTTTTCTGCTCCTCACCCCACCCCACCTGTGAGCAGGCTGGGGGCACAAAGGGAGTTGGGAGAGGACAGCTGACCCCAGGGACATCCCGGACCACAGGACATCATGCTCAGCACATAAAGCTGGGGGAAGGAGGAGGAAGGGGGGGACGTTTGAAGTGATGGTGTTCGTGTCCCCATTACACATCATGGACCCCGGCTTTCCTGGGGATGGCTGAACCTCCCTGCCCATGGGAAATGGGGAATTAATTCCTTGTTTTGCTTTGCTTACGCATGCAGCTTTTACTTTACCTATCAAACTGTCTTTATCTCAACCCATGAATTTTCTCACTTTTACTCTTCCAATTTTCACCACCATCCCAACACGGGAGAGTGAGCAAGCAGCTAAGCGAGGCTCAGTTGCTGGCTGGGGTTAAACCTTAACACATTGCTAATTCAATTTAAACTGCGGTGGAAATGCATCTTATTCTTCCATTACAGACTGCTCCACTGCCACCTTCACAAATTTAATACTTTCTGTGATTCAAGCCCCTGCTCCATATGTAACATCACCAGCTTTCTCAACTCTTAAAAGACTGTGCTTTCCTGCAGGTTTTCCGTTGGTCCCAGTGAGTGCAGTTCAGGGCCAAACAGTGCTCTTGCACCCCTGAGACCACGAACGGAGAAGACCCACAAAGCACGTACTTCTGCAATCCAGCAGAAACATACATTTAACTCCTACACCAACTGCTGCTGCAGACAGTCACCCACCTTGCATTTCGGTAGCCTGCACCTTCAGTTAACTCTTAGCGTTAGACGCTAAAGCAGCAACAGCAGCCCGCAGATGCCCCCCACCGTCCCCAGCGCCCGGCGGGGCGCGGGCTCTGAGCTTCCCGCCTCCCCTGGGCCGCCCGAGGAGCAGCCGAGCTGCTGCGCTGCACCTCTCCGGAGCGCCGGGCCCGAGCCGCGGTCACCCCGTCCCGCCGCGCTCCGTCCCACCCGTGAGCGGGGGTGGATGGCCCCGGACGGCCCCGGGGGATGGGGACGGGCGGCCGCCAAACACTCCGGGAGCGACGGGCCCTGCCCGGAACCCGCGGCGGGCGCCCGCGGGGCCGCGGCCCCGGCCCAGCCTCCCCGGAGGCGCGGCGCGGCCCTCCCCCGGCCCGTACTCACCCCGCGGCGGCGGCACTGCCTGGGCTTGGACACGTTCTTCGTCACCTTGTAGCCCTTGTTGAGCCCAACGGCCATAGGGTAGCGGATCGCCATGGCTGCGGGGAGACAGCGGCCTGCGCCGCGGCGGATGGCGGCGGATGGAGGCGGATGGAGGCGGATGCCCGGCGCCGCACGGCCTCCCCGCCGCCGGCACCTCCCCAGAAGGCCGCAGCGCGCGCGGGACGCCGGGACGGCGCCTCTTCCGGCCCACCCACGCGCGGGGCGGGGGCCGCGCCCCCCCCCCCCCCCACGGCCCTTTGTGCGGCGTCTCCGCGGCGGGAGCGCCCGGCGGGGCCGCTGGGCCGGTGTCGGATGGGACAGATCGGGCCAAGGGCCAGCCTGCCGCGGCGGGGGGGCCTCGGGGGGACCGATGTTCGGCACCAGCGCTCATTTGCGAAGAGACGTGAACGAGGAATTAGATTTGTGCAGGTTCGCGAACGTGAAGCACGCGTGAATCCTGACGTTCAACCTGCCCTGCGGCCGGAGGTGATGTCCAGGCACCCGCCCTCGTGAGGGGAACCGCCACTGGCACAGGCTGAAGGTCAGACCAAGCTCTGTCGCTAAACAAAAACCAGATTTTTCTCCCACAAATAAACACTTTTGTATTACTTGGTGATGAATTGGCAGTGTTTGTTAGGCAAATCAAAGGAAACACACATTTTGTTGAAAGAGATTGGATTTTCTTGCCTAGACCTCTGAAAAAGAACTGAGCCAAACACATTCAACCCAATTAACTGTTTTCAGCTTTCGAAGGCAATTCCATTTAATTTCTTAAAATTGAACATGCTGAATTGAAAAATTTAATTAAAAAATTTAAAATCTTGAATTTTTAAACAAATGACAGAATTGTACGTCTTGCTGTTAGACTCACTGTCAAACTAGTCTTTGCAAGACTTGTGCCTCCTTTTTCCAGGGCAGTTGTCCTAACAAAAAGTCGCCATGGACTCTCTGTCATCCAGCTCATGGCACAAATTCAAACAGTGAGGTATATTTGTCTCTAACATTGGGAAGCAGATCTAGCTCTAACGCTTTTCTCCACAGGAGGGCAGAATATGGACAGACATTTGCAAGGTGAAGGTGATTGGCTTGTACAGACAAAAGGAATCCCCAATCTGCTTCATTCTAACATTTCTAAAATTAAAAAAAAAAAAAAAAAAAAAAAAAAAAAAAAAAAAAAAAAAAAAAAAAAAAGGAATGACAAATTTGTTATCTATGCCTCTAAAATCAACTCAAGTTTGATAGCATCGTTGTTAATTAGAACTATTATACAGGGCAGCTAAAGGTCTACCCATCCACAAGCTCTGGTTTTCTCGCAGGAGGAGCTGCCACACACCCCACGCTGGAGAAGCAGGCGTCACCTCTTGGCACTGCCATTGTGCCTGGAGCTATCTTGCGGTGGCTGCTTACATCAGCTCTCTGGGTGTGCAGAAGGGGATCCTACCCACTTTGTCTCTGTAACCACCACCAGGCACAGCGGCCCTGAAATAAACACATACTCCAAGGAGAAGGCTGCTGCTTTCTGCTGCCTGGTCTGCAAGCATCAACCACCCAGTAGTGTGCCGCAGACATGGGGCTCTTCCCTCACTCACCCTGGCTATTGCTGTGTTCCAATCATGACACCTTTTCCACTCAATGTGCAAACACATAGATGTACAGTTCCCAATGTCTCCTTGGGTTTCTCCTCATTTTACCTTCATATTGTTCACTGAATGCTGCCCAAAACACTGCCTTTCCCCAAGAAAATGTTCTTTCAGACCCTTTGCCTCCCATCACTGCCTTCACAAGTCCCTACTAGAAAATGCAGTTTTCAGTTTCCAGAAGTTTTGCCCCATTTCCAACAGTAAATGCCTTCTCCCACATTCCCAGCATTTGCAAATGGTTCGCATCTCAGCTGAATCTCTCCCTTTCTTTGAATTCTGCATTAAGTCCCCATGCTCTTTGCCTTACTACTTTCCCAGAGCCATCAGGAGCAAAGACGCCATCAAGTAAGCATGGGAGGGAGAAAAAAAAGAGATAAGGGAAAAGAAACCACGTGCTTGGAGCTGAATCAGAAACCCCAGGTTGGGACTGACTGGCTCTGCTGAGAAGGACGTGGGGGTCCTGGTGGACAACAGGCTGAACGTCTGCAGCATGTCCTGGCTGTGGTGAACATACTGGGCTGTGTCAACAGAAGTGCACCTAGTAGGTTAAAGGAAGTGATTGCCCCCTTTACTCAGCACTCATTAAATCACATCTGGACTACTGTGTCTAGGTTCAGGCCTCGCAGGGCAAGAAAAACATCAATAAACTGAAATGAGTTCAGAGGAGGGCCATGAAGATATTTGAGGACTGGAGTATATATCCTATGAGGTGTGGTGGAAGGAATGAGGCTGTTTCATCCTGGAGAAGAAGCAGAAGTGAGCTGAGGTAGATGTGAAGGAGCCACCTGAATTTCTAATTAACCGATGGAGAAGAACGAATATAAGAACAATCCATCCCAATGTGCCAGAAGTCAAGCAATTACAGCAGGAGGCTAGACTGGCTGAATGAGGAATTCTGGATTGAGTTTAAACGCAAAGATTAAGAGCATGGAAGATGAAAGCAGCACCAAGCTACCCAAGAGACATACACAAGCATTGCATGGACATGCATGGACAGAACTTGAAAAGCCAGAGTTCAGCTGGAGTTGGATGAAGACCAAGGGAAGAAGGAAAAGTTCAGCATGTGAACATCTTGTCCTTCTCCTGTCTGCTCCAGGTTTATAAAGAGCGCCATTCTCTTCCAGAAGACAGATGAGGTTTATCTTAGTGTATCTCCTCTTTTCCAAGTATAGAATCAGCACAGTCCATAGTCCACCTCAGAGGCACAGGGTTCACAGGTGAGTGATGGTGCCTTGGACGCCGTTGTCTTCTGAACCTGAAGCTTATCCTGCTCACTGCAGAGTATGGGCCTTCAAGGCAGGCAGCCAAGTCAGGTCCAAACTCATCTCCAGCTGCCCATTTCACTGCACCCCTCTTTCAGCCAGCCCCCTGCATGCTGTCATGGCCAAAAAGCCACACACACTTTCTGAGATCCACCACTTGCAACCATGAAAAGGCAGAGCTCCCTCCCCTCCTGCTAGGGGAGCTGGAATTCCCAGGGGGTCGCTGTGGAGCCTATAGAAACCATCAAGCTGCTGTCACACTGGATTAAAGATGCTCTCACAGGATGCGCTCCCATAGCCATAGCTGGCACAGTGGTGGAGGCCCTTTACCCAGTAATTCCAAGCATTAACTTAATCACCTCCCCAGAAGTGAGGAGGACAGTCAGGGAGCTGTAGCCTGCTGCTGTCCATCAGTGCTCCACTTTCCTGTCTTACCCCTCTTTGGTGAAGTCCTTGTAAGATACAGGTGTCTGCATTTGCCAAGACTCAGCCATGTTTTTCTGCCAGATGTCTTCCAGTGGGCAGATGGGTCACCCTGTGAGCCAGCAGACTCAGGGAGCCTGGTAGGGCTGGGCAGTGGGAAGATAAGCAGGAGACAGACTCAGCCTCATACCTAAATCCAGGCTACTTTAAATTCAGAGGCTACTGTCTTATGTTAATTAACGAAAATATGCATAGCAGCCAGTGTGAAAGCACTTCAGCACCATTCTCTTAGGCAGCCAGAGGCCTCCCCTTTGAGTTGAGACCTTGCTGCTCTCAGTGCACTGGTTTCTTCTGGAAGTGCCCCTTACCCAATGCATCCTGGCTGTCCTACTGGAGGCTTATGGACCTCCAACACCTGAAAGCCCCACTCACTTCTTCAAGGCTAAGGGTTGGTTGGTTCTGAACCGAGGTCTGCTCTGTGCTTCATTAGCTAAACTCCATATGTTCATTCAGGGTGTTTCCCCAAGTGATGGAGACTCTGTCTTCCAGGAATTAATTACTCACAGCAGCAACCAGAAAACAGCGAAGGGTTCATCATACGCAGTATTTCTGCAACTGAGGCCCTCACAGTCAAGGATGGAAATACCCCCATGCACCAAGATAGAACAGGGCTCTGAAAAGAGGATGTGGGGACAATAGAAGTGATAACAGAAGTGATAACTCTGCCAGCTAAGAAGTGGCTGTGACTGTCAGACACGGAAGCTTGTGATTATGAGCAAGGCTCCTCTCACCCGCATGCAGTGCTGTGCTGGCACGGCTTCGGCACTTGGTAGTGGTTGCCACTAATGCTCCACTGTGCTCTTTTGAGGGGGCAGGAGAGAGCTGGGGTAGGAGTTCATCCAGCCTCTGTTTATGAGATGCTGGAGGTAGAGGAGTTCCTGGTGTGCAACGGGGCTGTCCAGGGAGCAATCAGAGCCAAACCAAGGTGGTCCTTCCTTGCCTAAGTGACTTGAGAGGGAAGTGAAGGTCACTGCAGGGTCCCCAATGCCACCTCTTTTAATGAAAACAGCCCTCTCCCGCTGGAATGATTCTGCTGCCATCGGACTCTTTGTCTGTCTCCTACCTTGTATTTGCCAAGCAAGCCCCAGCACAGGGGAACGTGCTGCATCAGTCTCAGCCCCACCAGGCTAACCTCTGGCTGCCTTCTGCCAGACAGTTACCCTGTTGCTCACTGTCTCTCTCACAAAGATTTAAAGCCCTGCTTTGAGACAATCAGAGACTATAACCATTTTCTTTAGTGGTGGTTTATTAGTTAGGTTTAAGTGTACTTTTAAACAAAATACTGCTTTGTACATCATAGGGCAATCTTCCCATTGGTCCTTGGTTCTTCCAGCTGATGTAGTTTGAACCTGACTTTAAAGAAAACTCTGGTCTTGGTAAGTAAACTGAGGTCCAGACAATATCCCCCAGAACTATTTGGTAACTTGCAAGACTTTACACAGCAAAATCAGAAACCAACAGCCACTACCACCAAAACTAGGAGAGGAAACAGTAGGCTAAATCCTTCTTCCTACATCATCCCATAAGCAAGAGCACCAGCTGCTCCACTCGAGCCATGGTTTCCCCTCTGAAGCAGCACATGTGCATGGGCATACAGACATGCAGAGCGAAGCCATGAAAACTGCACTCCTAAGAGAGGAAAGGCAGACGACCCTGCAGCAGTTCCCCCATCACTATGTGTAACACCAAATGAACAGGGAAGGCTATGTGTATTTCTAATGTTATGTTTTGTGCAAAGGCTTCTTTTATAGCATAGGCACACTGCTAAAACTGTCACCTGTGCTGCCACAGACTGGCATTTGTTCCCAAGTCCACCTGCTCCAGGAAAAACTAGAACACAACCCCTGCCTGTTCCTTGAAGCTTCTGCTGAACAATGGTTTTCATCCACCTGGCCAGTCCAACTGCCTGCTCTGCCTGAGCAGAGGAACCATCTGCAGCTGCCAGTTCAGGCAGGCTGCTTCCATCTGCTGAAGGAAAGGATTTAACCCTTCTGGGGTTGCACTGGGGTTTACAACACTTGGATTTTACAATCTGGGCTAATCTACTTCACCTCTGTTGCCATGCAATGGAATGCCTTAATTTTGTATCCACTTCTGCAATTATAGGTGCCTTAGTTTTGGTCTTCCTTATAAGTTGCTCATCACTTCCAATTGAAAAGGATGTGCTTGGGTAAACAACCTTTATTTCTGTCATTGAGAAGCAAAATTCCTGCCTTCTTGTAGAGAACCACATGGAGGAGGACCTCAGTTTCCCCTGCAGCTGCTGTACTGGTGTATCACATGCTGCTTCTCCCCTGTGCCAGCACAACTTTCAGTAGAACCACAGTGACTTACCTTCCTTTCCTGCTCGTTGTTCTTGCTGGGGATGGAAAGGTTTCATCCCTATCAGGTGAGAAAGGCCATTTACAGCCCTACAGATTTCCCTCAGAATTAGCCACTTTGAACAAATGAAACCACTATTTGTGTTACAGATGCCTTTTACAAGACAGATAATGTTTTGGAATGGCCAAATGCCATATAGGTATGAATGGCTTCCATGGGGATGAGCTCATGCCCCAGTCCCTTGGTGGGCCAGTTGAGTGTCACTGCAGGCACAAAGGAGGAGGCTGGATGGTGTGGTTGGGGCAGTGAGGGTGCATTGACCCTTTGGGCAGCACTGGGAGGCCAGATGAGTTCAGCCCAACTGTCACTCTGTGCCAGGGTCTTGGGCTGTCCCAGCCATAAGGAGCCTCCCGGAGGGAGGCAGAAGCCCCGGCTGGCCTCTCAGTGGAGCCTGTGAGGACATCAGGGTTCGGACAGAGGTTCGGAGCTGGCGCTCATTCCTAGCTCAGCAGGTGCTTGGCCTTCCGTGGATTTCCTTTCCCTGGGCATGCTGTTCTGGACTGGGAGGAGCACTGCTCCAGGCCCGGGGTGCAGCTCTCAGCTGGGCAGTAACAGGGCACAGGAGAAGGGACTGCCAGCACCGGAGCCTGCGGGGAGGCCCTTGGGGTGCCCAGGGCCCGGCTGTCGAAGAGGAGGTCAGAGGGGAAGGTGGGGTGAGGTGCTCAGTCTGCAGCATGGACAAGAGGCACGGGCAACAGTCACAGCCAGCAAATGGGATGATGGTTACGAACCAGTGT